ATTTAAAACTATTTTGCTTTTAGGTACAGTAATATTGTTTATCCGATTTTCTAGTTATTTCAGGAAATGATCATTTTAGTTGTTTAGTCAGTTGTTTCACATTGAAGCAGCCTGATAAAATCATAGACAACTATCGCGATAGTTGATTACTATAATATGAAGCTATCAGTAAGCGATTACGATAACTGATAGCTTGTAAGCTAATTATTAGATGATTGGTAAGATAACTATTTGGAATCTGCATAGTTTGCAGATACTTACGCCTGTCAGCCCCATTGGAGCATAGGCCGCCGACCAGTGTCCTCCAGCCTACTCTGTCCTAGGCTTCCCTCTTCAATTCTGTGCAATTTTTGTTCATTCTTCTCATATCTCTCTCTATGTGTTTCTTGGCCTTCCTCATTTCCTTTTACCTTGAGGGTTCCAAGTGAGGTCTTGTCTTGTGATGCAGTTGGGTGCTTTCCGCAATGTGTTCTATCTACTTCCACCGCTTCTTCCTCTCCTGGAATTTGGTTTGCTCTTTCCGACGGTTGCTAGGGGATACACTTGTGCCATACGATTAACCGTATTGATTGCAGGTTATCAAAAATTAAATGCGATTGTAGTTGATCTAAAATGGATGAGTTGGCGTGGTACATAGATCAGTATTTTTCAAAATCAAATGTCATTACAATTTTTGAGCCATTGGACATAATATTATCATTATTATGCTAGTCTGCATCGTCTAAGTACTTGGTTCAGTCTTTAGATCACAGATTTCAAAGTACTTAAAATTTAATGAAGTTTTAGGGAGTGTTATCACTGAGTTTGATTGTTTTCTATTCATTGGAATGCGAACCAATACTTGCATGACCTTCGGTTTATGCCTAGAACCTACTCACATGATTTTTTTTATTCCGAAAAATTGGTTTTTTAATTAATTCATCCAACATAGTAAACACTAAGTTCATCACTATGTAGTTAAGAAGTAGACATTTGACCTAGATTCACAGTATTAGGTTTGAGTGATTATGCAAGAGAGGTTAGATGAAATAACATCATGTTCGTCATTCAATAAGTGATGTAATACAACAATATATATAGACAAATTATACTATTCTGGTGAAATATAACCCTCAATGTTTGACAATAGCAGGAATAAGTGTTGATCACTTTTAAGGTTTAGTTGCATACATACAAAGTTCATTAATTCGGTATTTTTAATACATGCATTATCTCGATGTAAGACATTAAAAAAGTATAAGTTTATTAACTCAGTTTTGAATCAACCTTCTTACGAGAGGGTTAGTAATGCTAGGTAGCTGTTTAAATCGAAGCAGGTAACACTGGGTTTGAACAACCAACTTAATGGTTTAAAGCCGTGATTTAACTACCGATTTGGTTTCTTTTCAATAGACAGGACCGAACATTGTGAAATAAATAATTGTTATAGCGGATCTGATTCTAATACTGAAGTGAAAATACTATGTGATCGAGGGATTCAAAATATTGTTTACACACAAAGATATACAAGATAGAAAAGGATGTAACTGTGACGAAAGTAGAATAATTTAACTTATAAAGTTCCATTATTATCCTTCATATTACCAGTCTGTCTTAGAGACCTCAACGGTATTAAAGATAAATTATGTGAATAATTGTCCATTTATGTATATGGCGATTGACCGTAAAAGCGTACGTTTTGTCTATTACAATACATGGCTTCCGAAAATTCAGCTGATATATATATATATATATATATATATATATATATATATATATATATGGAACAGCATGTGAAGAACAAGTTTTCACACCACTCTAGATATTCAAATATTTGCAGGGAATAAATTGAGGTTGCAACAAATCGTTTTGTAGACCGAAAGAATGCTTCACTTTTTGATGGCCGAGACATCTACAGATTTAAGAATGCGGTCTAAACAATTTCTAATATGAAGCTTTGAATATAGTTGTTAGATTAATACTGATGCCTGCTTTATTTTCATAATTCAATGTTGAGGACAATGGTTTGCCCTCTTTATCAAAAGTATTTGATATAAACGGATTCCGAAGTCACTTAGCTGCATATTCTACCACTCTTGATTGTATTATTCCATGATTCCTATGTACACGTTTACAAACTCGATTCTGAATTATAGTGAAATACGCCAATCGATTGTTATTCTTCTCCTTTAAAATATACTCGTAAATTGTATGTTTTGAACAGTGAAATTTATCGTACATTAAGGCAAAAAGCTTTATAATGAACTTAAATGGTTTAAGTGTATTTTACCAAGCCTAGTGAAACTACTCAACCGGATTAGAATGAATTTGATGCCAAACAAGTTCACAGTGTTATAAAATAATCATTTGCATTCATTCTTAAAACGATACAAATAAATATTATTTTTCAAAACAAATTTCTTTGTAAAATAATATGATCTATTTCGTCATAGTTTCAATTAAGTTCATAAAGTGTACTTGAAAAATCACGCAGAATTGGAATTACTATCTTCGAGTCATTCAGTGAGTAATGATCTCTTCAAGATCACTGAGTCGGAATCCAGAAGTTTGTTTTTAATTAATTTGTGATATATGACGACATAAATGCCATGTAACAGCATCCATTCGATCACAGTTATTTCATTGAAAATCCACTAAAAAACAATAACTACCCCAAAAAATCAACTATTGTTATTAGTTTGATCAAATCAAAAATACAAAAAACAATTGCACCGGATAAACTTCCTTCCCACTCTTGTAAACATTGAAAGAAACAAAAAAAGGAAGAATGAATTGCATATGAATCCTTGTTGTACAAGTGGACTTCAATCAACAACAAACAATAATAATAATAACGACTAAATTCACCGTTTCTTTTTTTCTCTTTGCCCGCAACACACAACAACAACAACAACAACATAAACATTGTAAGATATTACTTGAAACACAACTACCTCAATGGAAAAAAAAGATATGCAAACAAACTTGTGATATTTTACTTTTCCAAAAGAACTACCAGGCAAGCAAACAAACAAACAAAAACATGTGATGATCGGTTTCTTTTTTTTTGCAAAAAAAGGAAACAAAATTTCGCATGTGTAAAGGAATAAAATGTTTTTGCAGTTAGAAGATCTATTTCCAGCTTTCTTCAAAATTTTCTTTATGTTTACCTATGTTTCAGTGTGAGGTTACAGTCATCCGCATTTTAACATCATCACCACGGTCACGTGGGCTTGTTTACCAATTTTTTCCCTTTTTTCCATGTCCATGCATTCAAACAAACACGGCAAGATTGTGAGAGGTAGTAAAGGAAGAAAAATAAAATAATAAAATAAATGTCTATTAAAAAAAATTCCAGTTGCAACAACATCGACTAAATTAGTTGGATTAAAATAAGGAAGAGAAGAAAAAGCAAAGAAATTATTAAATTTTTTTTATTATTATGACTGTCTTTGGTTCAACCTCTACACCATTATTGTTATTATTATTATTATTAAAAGTACATTCGATAAGTGGAAGTAGGTTGCATACTCATTAAGATGACCTTAAAATACACACACATACACAGGTGATCGATAGATCTGTTGTTAAAATACGCATCTCTATACAGATGAATTAAGTATCAGCATACTGTTGACAAGTACTATCTATCTTCATCATAGTTAATATATTTGGGAACATATTATTTAGTTAATAATAATAGCTTGACATCATTTTCCCAAAGTAAAATAACACTTTAAAGTAACACCCAATAGAGATAAGAGAAAAGAATGTTTTTCAAGTAAAGATTTAAATAATCTAATTTGATGAAAATGTAAATAGGTGTGATTGAAGAATTTGACTCTTAATTTCAGACTTCAATCTCTAATCATCGATTTGAATTCAGGTAAAAGTTCGTTTAATCATAAAATATCAACACATCTACCACAGAGTAGATGATTTTAGATGTAGGTTTTAAGTGTTCAGAACCATGTTTCAATTGAGAAAAGCACTACTCGTTCCTAATCAGAGGAACTTGTGATACTAGCTTGGCAAAATCAGCTTCAGATCGAACAAACAGAAAACGCAACTTGTATGAAACCAGTAGATTAATGTCTGATACATTCATATGTAATTGAAAAACAGTGTGTTATGGCCACTGGTACGATATGAACGGGGATAATGTTGACAGTGAAAAATGAAGTCAACAAAGTATTACTTCCTACTATTATTGACAAGCGTCCTTCTTCTTAGCTTTTAATATCATAGACTAAATTCTACCGCTCTTTGAGGATATACAGACTCCTTGAATGGATGCTTCAATATTCTTTTTGTTTACAAGTGAAGTGATACCTAACATGGTTTTTTTAGACTGGTTGAGACGCCCCAGCTAGATGAAAGTGCCTTTTTAACGTTGTAGATGGAACGGAAACTCGATCCAGATATGCACCATTAGACGAATATGAAATACAACGAAATTGAGTGTACCTCGGATGATTTTCATTCTTAATCACACCAACTAAATAGATAAATTTTTTCTTCATCTAATTACTCAACTCGTTGTGTGATGAATCGCGCTCAACAAAAAAATAGAAAAAAATACTTTGATAGGATAATCCAGTTTTATTACACTGAACAAACAAAAGTGAACAAGTGAATTTAAGTCTACAAAACATGAAGGAATAAAAAGGTGCAATTGAGTGCACATGTAAAATAATCGCAGTTGTGTATTTTCACTGACTGACTGTGCGCTGATATTAAATTGGTGATAATTTTCTTTTCACGGTTACTATTCTCAACATGTGCATCAATTTGTATACTCTGGATATATTTTGATTAAAGCAAAAAACAAAATAGTTGCTCATTAACTATTGAAAATAACAATAAATAATATACGAAAAATATGGGATAATCCATTTCTAATCCAAAAAAGTATATATATTTCGCCTCCTCGAACTATTGAACATTCACAGATATTTCACATACACAATATTAACTAACGCCCAGTTGTTATATATATATATATATATATATATATATATATATATATATATATATAACAACTGGGCGTTAGTTAATATTGTGTCTGTGAAATATCTGTGAATGTTCAATAGTTCGAGGAGGCGAAATAACTGAAAAAAAAGTATAATTCAAACGAATAAGAAAATTAGTTGACAAAAATATTATAACGACAACAATAAAGAACCGAAATAGATAAATCAGGAGAGAAAAGAATATCAAAATAAAAAAGAGAACGGTATGTAGGAGGCGAAAAAGTTGACAGTAAAACAAAAAAAAACACAACTAGACCAGGAAAAATCGTGTTTATTTCTTCCTGGAGAAGGGCCAATATTTACTCCATAGGTAACAAAATAAAACTAGGTTAAATTGTTATTTACTGGATTTTTACTATTATTATTTCTGGTTTACATTCACAGGGTACATGAAGACGACGAATGGGCAAAGAGAAAAAGAAAAGACTATCATCTTGAATGAATCAATATACAAGAAAATTCTCCTTTCTTCTCTTCCAATCTGTCTCATTCACGCACGAGCAGTCAAATAGAACAATGTAACAAAAAGCCGACTGTCGATGTGTATGTTGTAGCATTGTGAATAAAAGTCAGTGATGATTTTAATTGGTCAGGTGAAACCTTATCAAATTTAATAGGGAGAAGAACATGAAACAAATGGGCCTGTGTGTTGTGTTAATGATTAACAGGTTAAAGGCATTAAAGGAATCGAAAATAGAAAAAAAAAATAAATAAACACAATTTAAACATGAATAGAACAGTTAATTCTTTTAGGTTTACAGCATAATTAATAAGCATAATATTAATTTTAAACGAAAAATAAAAGAAATCTCTTCTACTCTTGAAAAACGATACGAAATTGAATTTTATTCGGTTTTCTTCAGTGGAACAGTTTTTATATTAAAAAAATAAATGAATTCTTTTTCAGTCAATGATTTTGATGATTATTCGGCGGTATTTACTGGATTCGTAAATGTACATATAAATAAATAAATAAACAGATATGGACTTATAAGTAGTATAGTATAATAGTGATAGAAAAAGGCGAACAGACATGTTCAATGGAGAACACATATACACACTCAAAAAACAGAGAATCATTGAAACGGCAAACTGATAAACAGTGAATTAAGAAAAAGAGAGAACTACTTAAGTAAGTGTTTACATTTTAATGCTTGGAAAATTAAAAACAGAAAAAAAATAGATGAATAGTTTATTGGTTGTTCTTTGTTTGCGTGGACGCAGATTTGTACACAAGGTGTAAAACACAAAAGTAAAAACTCACCGAAAATAAACTTCTAGATAATGCTGTTGCATTAATATTTGTGCCGATAACAATAATAATAATAATAACTATATATATATATATGAATGTAAATGTACATATATCTAAATATAGGTATTATATGTGTACGTCTGCGCATGTGTAATATGCATGCAAGACAGTCAGTGAAATTCGATAGTAATCTAGTGTAAAACTAACGGTGAAAATGAATAAAATAATTTTCTCTTTCTCTCAAAATAAGTATGCGGAATAATGTTGAATGTTTGAAGCACAAAAACGAATGATCTTGTCTCGATATATGAATATTTCTAATGAATTTTAGTTTAAATGCTTCGTAATACGATAGACAATTTATTTGCTTGTAAAGACAATAATATATTGTCTTAAAATTTCCTTAACTTGATTAACCGAGAGGTTGGCGACAAGTGATTGTATCTAAAGGATACAATGAAATGAAGGATTTATTCGGTAATAGATCATTTGAGGTTCTAGAAAACATATCGGAATACGATGAACCACCAATTACACTCCTTGGACTATTCGCATACAGCCGATTTGTACTATAATTTACACTTGGTGTTCCACTGATAGTAAACGATGGAAGTAAACGAAGTGAACGACTACCGCGTAGTTTTTCTTCATATTCTAATAATTGTCTCCAAAATCCAGGATTTGGCTGAATACATGGTCTTATACTGCGTACATGTTGATAAGCATCAGCAAGGCTCATATTTGTGTGACGCACTAAATAAGCTAATATAAGTGTACTTGAGCGTGAAACGCCTGCCATACAATGTATTAGTGTTTTACCCCCACGTCGATTTTCAGCAGCTATTCGATCGGATACTCTATCAAAGTGAATACGTAGATTTGCACTTTCTACATCTTCAACAGGGATATGAATAGTATTCATTACAGCGTTACGAATATGAGCCGGTGGAGAATCAACCATTGCAGATACCAACAGTGTAATGCCATGTTGACGTAATCTGTCTGGTGTGATAGCATTTAAACTGCTAAGAAACAGATGATTATTGATGCGTGCAATTTGACTGAACATTTGCATAAAATCTATTTGAAAGATGGTATTATTCGGTATAACAGTGATATTTCTACTTCCAATAAAAGAATTAATATTTCCTGACTTGGTAAGTGTATCACAATGTTTTTGTGATTTATCTGACGAATTAAAAAAACAAGAAGTAATTGACGGTGTTTTTGATCTTGTTGGACAGTAAGATGAACTACTTTGTATTGTTTGTGCAGTGTTTGCTATGGTAGTAGATGAAGATTGCTTATTATAATTACTTTCGTAAGCACCAGTAGCAGAAATCACTGAACATGGATTTAATTTATCCGATACTACGGAAGTATATGTGCTGTTAAAATTACATTGAGGTGTATTGGTGCTGTCATCTTTTGTAATTCCATTGGTTTTCAACAAATTACTAACAGGTAAATCAGGATTATAAATTTCTAATAATTTTGATCTTTGCTTATCATTAATTGGTGGTTCACAATCATCCCACATACTACGACGTAAACTTAGACTGTTTGCTGTCTGATTTGTTGTACTGTTATTTATTAAACGGTTATTAACACAAGGAAGATATGGGGAGGCGTGGGTGTAACTAGTATTAGCTGTTGTACCAGTAGTAATCGTTGAATGATGATTAGGATCAGCAGCCCACGTCTGACCTACATGTGACAGACTTGTGCCGTTCATATGTGATAAAATTGTAGTAGATTGAGGCGGAGGGGGAATAGTGGCTTTATTAATTACATTTGTTCGTCGATTTTCATCAAAAGGACGATAACTTGAACTGTAGATTGTTGAATAACGACTCATTTTATTTACTGCAATGTAGTGATTTCTAGGTAAATAGGAATTAGTACAGTTTATTAATTAAGAAAATTATAACATTGAATTATTTACCAATCAGCTTGTTACATTAGTCAAATGTAAAGGGAAAATTAAAACAGTGAAATGACCTTAAGAGTTAATTAGACGATTAAATACATATATAAATTAAGTATAGAACATTGAAAGGATTAAATAAAAAAAGTAGAACTTTATAATAAAACCATAAACTATGAAAATAAAAAGAATCCTTTAACTATGGAATCATTGGTAACCTAAATTAACAACGATAAATAAACAAGCTATTGAGTTAAACAATCAAAACTCATAGAAACTTCAAACAGTTAGTTATTTTAGAAATTTAATTTAATGGTCATTTAGCGTCGTTTAAGTATAAATTAACAGTATTAATTTTCAGAAGGAAACTAAACTGATAGTTAAGTAACGATGTTTAAACACAATAATTAGGTAATTTCACCTAAACATATATGGCTACGAAAATTATTTAGATTGACGACCCCACTATATGGCAAAAATGTTTTCTTTAGCTACAAAGAGGGTGAATTAGTTCACTGCAAGATTAATACTGATTACTTCAATGTGACTTAGTTTTTGCACACTTGTTAGGGAAGTTATCTTGTATCTACAATGTTCTTATTTTAGTTGAATAATCTTGAAGTATGGTTGTGGAAAAATATTGATAATGAAGTACATAACATTACTCGTAAACATCCAATTTTTTTATATTTTTGTTGTTTCCTGTAATTATATATGGATTTTAAGATAGAGTAAACACTACATTAAGTATCTACTTTTGGTTTCCGTGTACAACGAAGCAAGTAACACTGTCCTATACCTTAAATTTGACGGATCCTTGTCTCTATGTTTCTGCAGAAAAAGGCTAGTTTACATTAATTAATTAGCTAGGTTAATCAATTTGGCATAGTAATACATTACAGCGAACCGGTAGATATATTAAACTGTATTATGGGAGTTGCAGAGATTGTTTACTTACTTTTAAAATCATGGATCGATCAACGTTAGACCACCATTAGAAAGCGAGAAGCACTGGACGGCCGCTTCATACTTGTATGGAACTCATCAAAGTGCGCATCCACGACTCCTGCACCTATCAGAATTCAAACCCAGGACCTTCGGTCTTGCGCACGAACGCCTAACCTCTGAACCAATGAGCCGGTATCTAACGGTATTAATGCCTAACTTCGATCAATTCACGGTCTCGTGCAACCGCATACACAGTCTTCACACCCGAACAAAGTTGAACTCCATTGGTCACGACTTCTCACTAGAACTCGGAGAAGATTTCTCACAGAGCTAGTCCCTAGTGAGCCAGGTAATTTGTATTGTGGGGTTGTGGAGAATGCTGAGTTACTTTTTGAACCTGTCTCATCTTCCATTTTGAAGGTAATAACAAACATGATGATCGTAAATTTGCAATTAAGCCAGTATCCACAAATAGTGATTGATAAACGCATTTTCTATATAGTTTGACAACTGACCAACCATCACTCTAATATTAATACAATCCCACGTGGGAGCATATAAAGTTTGAATATTTTCTACCTCATCATAATATGTTTGAAAAATTAAAACTAACAGCAAGTCCTAAATAAACATATACAAACAGTAATTCATGCCAATAACTTAAGCTTAGAATGAAAAATAATTTGGCAGGCATAAATAATTTGCTTACTATATTAATGTTTGATAATTTTGGATCTAAAAGGTTTGCACAACACGTGCGGGAAAAAGAATAAAAAACAAAAAAGGCTTTTATCTGTCGATTTTATGAATATGGATCGATAGATTCATCTTGTTTTTGAAAAAAATGGAACATTTTGGCTATTTGAAAATTGTTTATTCGGTAGACGTAAAAAAATTGATTATTTATGAAAGAATATCTAAGACATATGTTGTTCGATTAGAATTTAGACAGTTAGATAGATGCAGCGTACCTCAATAACAGAGGAAATTGTCAGGCTATCCAATAGTAGTGAAGGCAGTAGCAGCGTTAGCGGTAGTGGCATGCATTGGGGACAGAAGATACGAATCAAAAAAAGACAAATCAGTGAAATAGATTTAAAAGAGGAAAAACGTGATGAAGGATTCAGAAGATTAGAAATTGAAGAAACACTAAGAATAGATGCACCTGTTTCATACCGAACGATCTTGAGTCACGTCATTCAAGATTTCTAACCACAGGATATATAATCATACGGACTCCCACCAGGTAGTCTTCACCTACTGGTATGGGTTAGTCCCATTGTACTGACATCATGAACTGGTTCCATGTTTTTTAGACCTCCCCTAGCATTCTTTCAGTCTATTCCTACATTGGAAAACATCGCTCGCCAAAGTAGTCAGTGGCTGGGCGTACTTAGCACATGTCTAAACTACCTTGGTTGATGACGATTCACTACTTTTCCAACCGTTTTGTCATCCTTACCTAGTACCCTATTCCTTAACACAAGCATTGTTTACTTGGTGGTCCCAGAATACATGAGCAATGCTATGATTAAATATTGGTAACCTAAGAATATCATGTATTCTTAGTGAATTTAGAATATTGAAGATTGATTACATTGATATATCTTGGTTTTGTATTAGGCGTTTTCTAACGAAAACATATTTGAACTTAAGGAACATGAGAACGGATAAAGATAGAGTTTCCGCTAACTTAACCTATACCTGAATGACAATACAATCTTATAAGCAACTATCATTAAGGTACACAGTGTCACTTTATATCAAACTATTAGAAATCTACCGGCCATTTTAGCAATCAAATCGTGTTTACAACAACTGAACTTACTACAAGCAACTGAGGAACATACTAGTCTATATGGTCAAAATTGGTGATTGAAGTACTTGAAATAAAGGGACCTTTGAAGCGAAAATTTACTTCAAAGAGCAAATAAGCTGTAAAAGATGAACGTTAAGACAATTTTATTGTAAGATGGTTGGTAAGAATGATGATAGGTCGAAATAATAGTGAATCTTATAGACAAAGTGATAGATGGTTGCGATCCTTGTAATTTAAAAAGGTGAACTCTACTTAATTGTCGAAGGAATTCAAAAGTATGTAGCAGCACAACTTATGAAGTCGTTTAGAAACGATGTATTATATTTTAGGCTAACGATGATGTCAAATCAGAAGCTGATGATAAAACAGCTACTGGAATTTGTTGTGAGATTACATACGAATAAATATAGGAAAATTGACGTACGAATAATCACTAACTGACTGTGTAATATACACGACATTAACTCATTAGAGATAAAAAAGAAAAAAATAATGTGGGAAGACAACAGGATTTATGAGGTTTATGGTTTATAATAGTACCCAGATTAAAACGGAGCAAACAGTTGATGCTTACAAACAAATAATAATGATAAACAAGAATTTTGGGAACAGTCTTGATGAAACAGGATTAGAATTAAAAAAATACAGTAAATTTTGGTAAAACAGAACAATAATAATAAAACTCATAAGTTTTGTAAATCAGAGCTAATGACATTATCTAGTTGCTCAAATAGTAATACGCAAGGTAAGGTTCAAACATAGGCTCCATCTCTTGAGATTTAAGAACCCATCCTATGGAGTTACGATTTTATTAAAAGAAGCCGACAAGTGTTTCAGTCACGCCATTAAGACTGACTTTGAGTTATTTCTCTGAACGTTATCAACAGTTGGCTAGATTTACCTCACGGGCCGTAACCAGATAGTCCAACATTTTTGCACATAGTTAGGACTAATAGTTGGTAACTTCAGAAACTGATTTTATATCTTGTTTTGATAGCCGTTGGTCCTTTTTACATTAGTAATAAGCTAAATAGCATAGCGCGCCCGGCTGTGATAGTTAAGCATATGCAACATGTAGGTAATGTTCCGGATACTAGGAACCTTCATGCATCTTGAACCTTCAGTGACCTTGTTTTACAGTTGTAAAGCAACAAGGTGGACTACATCTTGGCATAATTTTTGGCTAGCCAACTGATGCTTAACTGCACTAGAAGTGCCTCAAGTTAGGAAATAAACGAGCTTTTAGTATTTATGAGAGGATTTCATTATCCACAGTTGATGAGAATAATAACGAGGTTGGACTTAAAATTTGAGCTGCACAATCACTATACATTAAAAACTATGGTCTGAAAGATAAAAGGGAAGTGCAGCTACTTTTTAACCACCTTAGCACTTCAACTAAGGGCTAATATTGCAGCATACTAAACAATTACTAGGTAAAGGACAGATATATTGACTATCGTCTGTGGTGTGCCTTACTGTCAGTAAACGACTCAAACTTTCTGAGTGATGTAGGCTGAAAATAATGGTCGGAAACTATACTGTCGTCGAAGTCTATTTAAAGTGGTGACTGACAATTTTAGAATACTGGAAACCCACATCGTAAATATTTTATACAAACATTCGGGAGATACCGATCCACAACAGTTACGGTAGTGGTTACATTTTATCTGCATAAGACTTAGATTTCTATGATTTTCAACATATATAGAAGTTAATAGTAAGCAAACTCTGATAACTGGAGCTATCTTGAAAATATACGGAGAATTTTCAGCCGTAACGTATGCTGAGTAGTTAGTCAGAGGCATTTATAGACGGAAACCAGTACCTAGTGGAGTACTGAAAGGTTGTTCTAGGCCTTTCGCATTTTACACTGCATTTAAATGGACTTCTGTGTATCACTAAGTCCCAAATCCTGCTGTACAGTGACGTCAAAATTTGGCGAGAGGTAACAGAGGATGCAGATGCTTATTTACTCCCGGTCGAACTAAAAGGTCAGTGGATATTAAGGCGGTCAAGTATACCTACATGGAAAATCGATATAAAAGTGACTACAACATTAGGAGAGCGTTAGAACCCTTGGTCCTGTGCTACAATGGTCTAGTGGTAATAATGAAGCACGATCTGAAGTTCATGACTCATTTCCCTGCGATTGCGGCTATGAGGATAGGGAAGTTATGTGCTTTAAGATGGGGAAGTTGAATACAAGTATTTTCATCACCGTAAACATAGCCTTAGTGAAATTCAACTGAAAACTGAGCTTAGGATGCAAACCTCTTTTTAAAAGAAGACTGACATTGTGATAAAGGTAGAGGAAAGTTACTTTGGCAAATCCAGAAATTCAAGGTTAAGCAAACATAAAGCTGCTTGAGAAATTGGAATTTTCTTACCGTCTTATCGTACATTAAGTCGTGATCTGGTTTTAATGTATGGAATACTTAAAAATTATTTGAGACTTGGTATATACTCTTTCTCCTCCTTACCAGGTCAGGACAATTTGGAGTACAAAACAGACGAGCTGAAAAACTAAGAACGAACAAAATACTTTTGGCATACGACTTTTCACACACAGTTACCAACTGTTGGAATCTACTACCCGGTTGTGTCCTTACATTTAATTGAAGTGAGAAAAAGGTATCATTCACTTAACTAAATCACTATAGGAAGAATACATTCCCGTCTGTTCGCTTTAACTGATATTATTAAGCACGCTGGGATATGCCAGGGTGACCTTGAGAATATTCACTTACTAGGGTAAAAAGGGACTTATAAATAATGGGTGTAGGGTTAGGAATACAATTTATAATCGGATGTTAAGGTTAAGAAAGTGATTAGTTTTTATCAAAAACTGACATCAGTTATGAAGATACGCTCAAGCACATCAAAGTTTATAATCAGAGAGGGAATAGATATTTGCAAGCGAAAAATTCTGGATGAGGTCTCGTGCACGTGGGAGATAAACACTTGACATTTCGTAACCGAATTTAGCCTGGCATGTTGATCTAAAAACACTAATATTATTACAGCTGTTCACGATTGGCACCGCATATATTTTTAGTGAGACAAGATCTATTCAGCATAACAAAAGCGTTAATCTGAACTTCAAACGACGTTTTATTTGAGTAAAAGAAGTAATTGTGATACAGAATTCGGTATTATAAGCACGGTTTACGCTCAGCAGCACGGAAATTTAGGCTATCAGAGGGATATGAAGCAGCACGAGTTGACGGATCGCGACATTCGATCAGTGAGAAAAGCATCGAAACGCCATGAGGATCAATGAGAGGCATATGCAGTTAAATAGGACACACATGGAAGCAAAATTTACCAATATCACACTTGATCCATTCATACCTTTTTAACACATTATTATATGATATCGGAGTTGTAAAATGTTGTTATTTACAGAAAAAAAACCCAGTAAAACAGCACTGGTAAGAAGAACTACCTGCTAGGACAACCTGGTGTTGAGTACGTGAGACAAATTTACCGCCTCAATCTGTAAGTATCAGAAAATGTGACAAGTGAAAACCTTCCTGAAAATTACAAAATAGAATGACGCTATGATTTGTCAAACAATCAAATTACTATTTAAATATCCTAAATCTATTTGTTTGAACTGTGATGTCATGACAACAGAATGGCGTTTATTTCAAACGTTAGGAGGTGAACTTTAATTTGATTCCGACTCCAGAAGAAACGTCGTATAATAAATATTCCGAGTAGGTTCATGCTTATTTTCGTATCACGACCGTTTCTGAAAACTTGTGTGAGCACATTACTTCCCCATATCACCATCAGTAGACACATTTGCTTTTCGAAATTAATGGATCATTCCAACCCACTTCAGTTTGATATAACTAAAAATGTTGTTTTTTTATTGAATAAAAATGATCATTAAAAGAGTTCTCTTGTTCAAAATGACAAAATGATGTAGACGTGCGCGAACGTTTTGAATCAAATTCCTGAAACGGTGCCGAAAGAACAAGAATCGATTGCAAACAAATCAGTCGGTGTATGCTACCTCCCGAAAAAGATGTTCAATATTAAAGTGGTTCTTTTTCTTTATAGAGCTTGTTACATATAGAGCAGTGTTGTTTCATTTTTAGACTGCAAGTACACATACAAATAGTTAGTTAGGTAATAAAACCTCCGTTCATTAGATTAAAGGATAGTAATCACATTATCCTGTTTTACTTAATTCGACTCAGTGTTTTTAAGGTGCGGTCTTGTTTAAGTTTATCAGCAAGTGTTGATTGAACACGGAGTACTAGAAATTAATATCTGGATCAAGATAAAAAACTGTAGATATGGAATTATTAAACTTACTTCTCGAACTATTCGAGAACTTACGAAATGAGAAGGATGCGCGCAGCGAATAAAAAATAGGCGTTTACCTTTTGGCAATCATCTCGTAACCTCAGGTTATAATAAGAAATTAAGTTAAAATTTCTCTATCTCTATAACGATTACGAAGACCTTTTAATATTTCAGGACCTTATACTTCTTGAATAACATCTTAGAACCCTAATATTCTCCATTACCACTAACACTTCTACTTTTTATAATACTATGAGATTTCAACTGACAATAGCGTCCCTGTGCTAGTGTGGTATGGCAACATGAACTTATGTACGTATGTACGAAGTTCAGTTTTATAGCTTATTGGTTGACTGACATTGTCAAATCCTCTCAAGCATAGATAATTTGAAACAAGGATTCCCGACTTGAATCTCAATTCAGACTGCTTCCTTGCAAACTTCATTTATAAGACTAATCATATGTTCGTCTAAATGCAATGCTGATGTACGAATAGTCTATAAGACCTACAAACCTTTACCAGGGAGCTACATTAGTTAACTTTATTTTTACGATCGACTAACTTCGTATCATGCATCACTAAAATGGTCTCATATGTAATACTATTTTATTTATTTTGTATATAAGCAACTCATTAAGATAACCTATTGGCCTTAGCTTTGCTAGAATTTACTTCTATTAATCACCGATTTGTCCACTTATCCGGTGCACTCAAATATTTCTGTAATCCTTTCTTGTCCGTTGCACTTTTTAGTGGCATTTTGGATCAAGGGAAAAGATGATTTTAGGACTCTTATCATAATTATTACGAATTATTTCCTAATAAAGTTCATTGTTTATAGATTTCTATGAAGGCAGAAAATCAGTTATTTAAGTCCACAAATCATTTTAAAACTTTTGATTTTTAATCTAACTTCAGTAAAGGTCTCACCAACGGCTACTGTCTTCACTGACAAATAATAACAGCCGGAATAACCTTACGTTTCTTTCAAGAAGACCTCAAAGACTGAGATAGTGAGACCACTAAAACTGTCTTGTTTGAAATGTTGGATTAGTCATTCATTATATAACCACCATATCATTAAATGCAGGACTCATGGACAAAACTCCATCGTTAGAATCAGAAGCTGGCCTTTCAGCATCATCTGCCAACGGAATTCTGTACTTCAAGGGATTTCCATCAGGGATGTTCACTTTCTCCATTGTTTAATGTTGTCATAGATATGCTTCCAGATTTACCATTATCTTCGTCTGGCTTTTCAGGAGTGGACCTTCTACCAGGAGACAGGTTTGCAGATTTAGAATACGCTGACGACACAGTCCTACTTAGTGAAGACGCTAACAAAATGAAGAGTCTTCCGTCCACCCTGAGCAACAATGCGAGCATGTTCGGGATGCTGTTCTCTCCCCCGAAATCCAAAATATTACTTCAAGATTGACTTGCATCAGCACCTGAACTAGTGATAGGGAGTGAAGTAATTGGGCGTGTTGACCGCTCCACTTATCTTGGAAGTCTCATCAGTGCTGACGGCCTGGTGACTGACGAAATCTCAGCACGGATACAGAAGGCTCAATCGGCCTTTGCCAACTTGCATCACTTATGGCGTAGGCGAGATATCCATTTGCCAACCAAAAGGATGAGTGTACTGCGCAGTAGTTCGCTTTGTCCTACTTTATGGCTGTGAAACATGTCCAGTTAGAGTGGAAGATATTTGCAGGTTGCTTGTTTTCGATCATAGGTGTCCAAAGGATTGCTCATGCACTGCTGTTATTAAAAAACGGGTCCTAGGTAAGGGTGTCAGATCAATAAATGGAGTATTGAAACTTCATCAGTTGGGGTGGCTGGGACATGTGTTACGTATGCCTAACCACCGACTTCCTTGTCGAGCTGTTTTGCGATATAGGAATAGGTTGGAAGAAGGCTAGGGGCGGCCAGACCAAAACGTGGCAGAAATCCACAAGTGGACTGAATCATGTCGGTAAATGTCAACTAACTGGTTAGGGTCCGCAGGATGATAATAATCGATGGTTAGAGACCCTGAGGGACATGGCTCAAAACCGTTTGCAATGGCGCAGGTGCACTTACTCTCTGTGTTCTATGAAATTCTAACCTTCTGAATTCTTCATCACCTCTATCTTTCTCTTTCTGAATTTACCTCACTGAATATACTTCTTGAATAACATCTTTCAACGCTAATCTCTCCGATAACTTCCAATACTTTTACTACCCCTACTACTATGGGATTTGAATTGACAATCATATCTCTGTGCTAATGTGGTATGGGAACTTGAACTGCTGTGCTTACATGCAAAGTTATACGTTGTTGTTGATGTTGAGGTTGTAAAAGCCATTTATCATGCAGCGTTTTAAATTGTATCTACCAATAAGTTTGCTTTGGGATATTGGTTGTTTATAATGTTATCTGGATACTACCTTTAACATCAGCCTTTATACAAAGGCGGTCCAGCGGTATCCAGCGGTCTGAAAAATTCTATTTTTCTCGTGATCTGAGTCTTATCTAAGATCCTAATAAAAGTTCATTTACGGTTCTCATGTTCATTGAACAAATAAAAGATGACTTATCTTTTTTGGAATTCCATACATCATGCGACACTAAATATTTAGTACAGCTCGTACCTTGTGTTCTAAAAGAACCTTGTGTAACAATAAAGATAATCATATAATCAGTGATGTTATCCTTCAAAAAACTTGACTAAACTTGTGCTTGTTTATTAAGGAATAAGCTATATTATGCTTAATGTTAAATAATACTGCACTTGTTATGAAAAGAATATGAATAGCTCTCATGATATGTTCTTTTGCTCTTAGAATATAAGAAAACAAAAGACAAAGTAGTCTAAGCAAGAAAATATGACAAAGATTCCTTTGAGTGATACAGAATTTGAACATTTAAGAGCCAAAATCATATCAGAAACAACAAGTGCTTCAGATAAATTTGATAAACTGTATTATTCGAAAGGATACTTTACAGCACGACAGGTAAGTGCAGCAATGAAAAATGTGAATATTGGGAAAATTCGTTCGTATACATAATAATCATTCACCTATTTACAGTCTAGGCGGATTATTCACTGTTTCTTTTCAATCCTCTTATGGCTTTCAAAATACTCAGATCGCTCTATGCATTTCAATCGCCTAACAGTTCGCTCTTGTAGCAAGTTCAAAGCTACACTCTGTTGCATACTATTTATAAGCCACTTTGTGAGTAGCGTACATGCATATTAATAAGTTTTGTACAGTAAGATGGTCTTTGTGACAGTAGAGAGATGTTTTTGCCAAAGTTGTTGTAGTAAAATGAGCGGATAACGAACGGAAAGGTTCGAATCTTGATTCTAGTTGATCCGTTAGGAAGTGTATTTGAACGAATATCAATCTTTATATAATTTGTGGTAGGTTAACGTAGTTACTCTAGCCTTTATGATGCGAGAAATTCAAGTGGTTGTCAAGTGGTTGACAGGCTCTGAACGTATAGTATGTTTGACATACACGGGTGAATAATGAAAAAATTAATGGCAAATTATCTGAACGTTTTTACTGATGTATCAAAACATTGAGATTCATAATAAATACATTAAATGTTTACCACGATGTTTCCCTAGTCTCACTGAGGTATAATTTGTAATGTCAAAATTGAAGACAAGAATGACAGTTTGATGTTATACGGACATAAAATTTCTAAATAATAAACGACCCAACATCTTCATCTTGTTAGATAATGCCGGTACGTCGGCGACACATTCATTATTGTAGATCAGAACATCAGTAAAGGAAAACTTCTAGGACAGTTCAACAGTGTACACCTGGCAATCACTTTCACTGGTGAAGAGGAGTATGATAAAAAGCTGAATTTCCTTGTTGTCACACTAAACAGGCAAAGTGATGGCTCGTTAAGTAGAAGCGTATACAGAAAAAGTCCCACTGCTTGTCGATACACTCACTTTTAGAGTTTTACAACTATCCGCTACAAGAGAAATGTGGTTGGTTGTCTCACTAGCAGCGCAAAAATTATCTGTTCAGTGAATACTTTAAGTCAGAAGCTGGAGTTTATCAACAGCTCACTGACTGACATTGGCTACCCTAGCGCGTTCATAAGGAAGTATGCGCTTAATGTAAAAAAGTCGGAGACTTCGACCGTTCGAAAGAAGCCTTTATTTATTAAACTACGATTGAACGGGGATGTGGCTGGTGATACTCTGCAGGCCAGATTAACGAAAGTAATTAGTAGAACATTCTATGCAGCCAAACTTGCGTTGACCTTCTCAACTTAACCAGCGATGTCTAATCGAAAACAGTATTGTTCGCTTATATGTGTTGTTCTAAAGACTGTGTGTTGAGCGTGTCTGAAAAGTCTGATAGTTTGAACTGCGGTAAGCCATTAATAAAGAATATACTAATTTCCGCTTAATTTTCGACAGGGTGATGCTTTTCCGTTCGATTTATGTATGGAATAAACTATTTACTGTGTGTCTGAAAAAGAAGCTTAACCTGGACTATACCATTTTTGTAAATGACTTGCTAGAATAAATGCTCTTAACAGGTGACAGCATACATTAGCATCATCAGTTAACAAAAGTACAAGGCGGAATTACTGTCCATGACATGTAATCGATTGGTGCACGTTGCTTGTTCCTGACCTAACGAGGTTCAGAAGACTGCTTGGAATTCATCGACTGACCTGCCGGATGACTGGGTTAGAGCCCAGTGACATTTCACTGGCCCTACAAGCTTCACACCATGAGATAAGTATTCCTGCTTCTAATTTATTTGCTTATTTTGGAAAAATTCGGTCAACTGCTATGACCATCAGATTGTTGTCTTTGAGACTGGATTGAAGTATTTACTTTATAAAGCAAATAACCTCAAAGCATTTTTACTATTTTATTAACCACGGTGCGGATTATTGATTTTGCATTGTTTTTGCTTTTATCTCTAGGCTGCTGCTATTTTAGCTTCTTATAAAACAGCTCCGGAAAGAGTTCAGGTATTAAAAGCTTTACAAAAAGTACGTCTTCTAACTCTTATTATTAATATGGTCTAATATTGAAGATGTGTCATGATTGTAAAACCTGTCCATTGTTTTCCTTTTTCAATTCCCTTGTCTTGTAGAGATTATGCCGTATGACGTGTGCTGAAGCAACTGAAATATTAAATGTTTTACAATCAAGCAATTATGATCGATTGTTTGCATTAGATTGCATCAAACAGTAAATTATTTGACATTTGACTAATAATTTTTAATAATTAACTAATTTCTGTGTTTAATTTACGCAAATAATTAAAAAAACAAAAACGAAAACAAATTTTCGGATAGCAGAAAGATTTAAAGCTATGAAAATGTGATAGATGTTTGTATGCTGAAGATACGCAGCTTAAAGGATTTTATTAATAGGTGTTACATTTTATAAACTTAATACTTTATTTATGAAGCTTTTGGTTACCTCCATTGAAGACTTTCAAAGGAAGTGTGTCAATAGTTTGTTCTTTTGGTAAAGATGGGCATGATCGGTTGTTAATAGCAGTTATCCTTCATTTGGCCCATATCTAGTTTGGTTTCTTCCCGACTTGAGTTTTTACGTGCTTGCTTGTCAACATCTTTTCCTAACTAAATGTATCGCGAAATGCCTACCGTTTGATTTACGATTTAAATGTGATGCCTTTGAAAATTATTTGGTATTTTTCGTGTTGCATTTGCATAGGATTTCAACATTTTCTTAATCGAATCCATGTTCACGAATGAATATGCATCACAGTGTTCAAGTTACCAAGTGATTTTTATGTAAATCAACATGAAGAGGATCTCCACGTCTTCTGACCTCCTGTTTCTCAAGGCTCTGATAGTTCATTTTGTATACATGTCTTTAGACTAGTCCTCTTTTGTCTTTACGTTTATCCGATCCAGATATGTTGATTAGATGTATGATGTTTACTCGTAGTTAGTTTATTATTAAACCCGACAACTCTAAATGGTCTAGTATGATCATCATTTAAGTTTAGACAGCTCATAGCCAATTTTATACCTGATCATAATCTAAACATATACTTCTGTGAATACCAATGAAAGGAATAATTTCTGTACAATTTTACAACAGAATCAATTTGCTAATTTCGATTCGATCATCACCACTCGTTAACCGGTTTCATAAGCAAGCCTTAGTTAGAAATTCTATGAACAGCATGTGTACCGGATCTTGCAACGGACATCAAAGTCTGATCGCTAGGACTATATCAACAAACCACTTATTATTTTTTTGTCTTGAAATGTTTGTGCAACGTAATTAGTATCATTAATTAATACTTCCATTTTGAAGTGATCGACTTAATAGGCCGTGAATTGTCCTTTTACATAAAACAAAATTAACTAGACTATTTTCATGAATTAGTAAATAATTCTAATTTTGTTTCCCTTCTTTTTTTTTTAAAAAAAAAAATTTATTTACCTTTACGTAAACAATGTTGTGTTTGACTTTGTCATTTGTTGTTGTTGTTTTTCAGTACGTTAGTTGATCATGAAACAACTGAAGGCAGTCAACACATTTTGAACAGTTTTATTTACGAAATTGACCGATTGAAAGCATTGCAAATATTATCAACTGTAATGTTTCGGATTCTTTTGTGGTTGATTTGACATATAATTATTCTCTTATTTATTTGTATCTATGCACATATAGGTTAGTATGTATGTTAAAAAAGAGTTGGCCAGTGGTGGGCACCAAGTCTATGCACCGGTTGGTGGTCTTTATTGTCAAAGCTTCCCAGGACGTGAAGCATTGTATGGACCGATTAGTGAACAACTGGCTTTAAAAGATGTAAGCAATTTCCTATTTTCATGACAAACAATTGTATCGTTTGATTTAATGAATTAATTTGCTGTAACTAATCCACTATTATGTTCGTTTTCGCCAATAATCGCCTAATACCATAAAGGATTGAACAGTTTACTTCACTTTGGAATTGTGCATCTGTGACCCTACATAAGAGCGGTCAAACATAGAGCTTCAAGTATTCTAGAGATCTGAGTCAGAGTTTTGACTGTTCTTCATTTTACGCATTAATTAATTTGATATTTTACTGTGTTGTATAGGCTATAACTGTCTAACTTACAACATTGTTCAATCCCATGAATCACAATTTCTCACGAGAACTTTGTGAATCTGTTCCTAAAGGAGTCATTATATTGAACGGTTCACTTTTTCACACTTCAGATGGAAGATGAATCTTATCATGATATTAACTGTAGAATTGCTAAAAACTATAGAGTACTGATTAAATTTTTACATTATTCTTATTTTGATAAACTTAAAAAAATGAAGCGTAGAATGTTTCACGTGGTACAACATTGACTGTATTATGTTATCTGAAGTAAGCCTAACGGGTGAACTGATCCTAATGTCACTACGAAGAAAAAGACCATACTTTTTTTTACACCTTAATCTTGAAATGAAGTAGATGTTCCTCTTACTTTATTGGCAGATTCGAATTAATTAATAACACCTTTTAGTATGCATTTATTACTGTTTATATTTAGATATAGTTTACTTTGGTGGGAATGGATATTTATTCAAAATAATTGGAAATCAGTAAAAACCAATCAGTTATTTTATAACAAATTCAAGCTTGTCATTCGTAATTTTTATGTATACCTTTCAGAGGAAAAAATGTTTTCAGTACTTCAGATTACAACGAAAGTTGTTCAGATTATTTTGGTAATAAAAAGCCGTACTCGAAATACTCCAATCTACTAATATGAGCGATCGGGTATATTCACTAGCATTCATACATCCAGACATTGTGACTGGAAGCTTTGTACATAAACCTGTGCTTGGCAAATGAGTTACAAGTTGTTAGTTTTCTTATTGTTAAAATAGTTGTTTGTTAGGGATTGGGGATTTTATGGATTCAGACGAACCGCCTAGCATATGGATGTATTGCACACTGGCCCGTCACTTAGATCAATGAGCACATTGCGACTTGATTAAAAATATTCTATCAACACTAAATTCTTCATAACTATTGCATTGATCAGTATCAATCAGCATAGAATGCAACATTACCTACTAGATATGCTTCAAAATCTAAGTTTCCTAGTATATTCTCATGTATGCTCTCTAATCAACCGGTCATTTATGGGATTAGAAATGAGATCGGAGTAGAATGATCAAAAAATTAAACTTTATGGGAATAAATCGATCGCAGTATCTTAGCAAATGCCTGATGATGGCAATCTCGCTTTCTTTTACAACTTCGATGAAAAATCGTAGGAAAATGCATTTCCACCTTGCTAATTACTTATAAGTAGTAGAAATATGTTACATGAAATACTTTTCAAGAAAAAGTTGATTTGTTGAAGAAATTGGATGTGGTTAAAGAGAGTTGTGATGTACATTGTAGTTTATTCCTTTCTTTGTATCATTTGTTCTCATTTTCATGATTGATTACATGTTGTTTCTAAATTGATCGAAAAACGTCCTAATACACATGGGAAATGTATCAATTTATAAGTATTGTTCACTGACTATTTACAGTAAAACATGAATATAATAAGAGTAGGAAAATTAGTCTTAATGAATACTAAACAACACCGATTGATAATGTAGTCGGTTGTCAGTAAGTACTGTTGTGATTATAGAATACCTAAAAAAATTTCTATAATTTAGATGAGCAAACATTTCTGTGATTCCTTTTCAACATAAATAAGTCTTAATTGGGTCATACACTTATGAGCCCAACTGATCGAATGAAATGAATGGACGTGTTACAGGAAAATACATTTTTAAAAAAAGATACTTCAGTGTGAGAAAACATTGCTGTTAGGAGAAAGAAATTTTCATCCTGATGACGTTGCTTGCTGATGCTTGGCAATTGTAATCTATGATTAATTTCGCATAGAAACAGTCAGTCATGAAATAGAGAAGTGGGATGAATCGTTTTTGGTTATATAGTATCGACTTAACAATTTGCATATTACTAAAAGGTGATGGCGCCACACCATCAAATTTGAAGATATTAAGCCTTGGAATCTAGCTTGGGGTCCAATGTGAGACTTAGGAATTCTCAGTTCTACCCCATACGACGTCATAGGTGTTCTCCAACGAGCAAGTTTGAAAACTGAGACGGAACAATCATGCAGTGATTGATAATCTCAGTTGTGTTAGTCGGTTGGTGATCTAGTCATAGTGAAGAGCGATTTCCATTTGTATCGAAACCTTACGAAGTCATTTTTATATTAAAATACTAGTTAAGAACAATTTTAGAACAGTGGAATTAGTGGAGAGATTTTAAATATGCAACAATCTCAACTGGAAATAAATTGAAAATTTAGACCTCTTCTATAGACTCCTAGACACGTTTGTATTGTCCAAGAACACAAAACCTCTCATTGATCGCTGAGCAAACTGTACATCCAACTGGCAAGCCAATTTTTAGATTAATCGAGAAATTTTTTTGAGGAAATACATTGAACATGCTATTACTGGAGTGGTGTGCTTTGTAATTTTCTTCTACAAAGTCCAGTGATTTATACCTCGAAGTTGCAACAAACAGCGTCGTGAAGATATCATCTACTGCTAATCAATATTTTTATTATTATTACTATTTAGTCATCCATAATGGCCTTACTGTTGTCTTTTGTTTCTTCTTCCGACAGCATTTAGTCAAGCCTTCCCTTCCAGTGACAGTGAATATACATCCATCAATGTCGATTTTTCATTCAGCACCATCATACAAATATATTGGCGATTTCAATCGTTCATGGTATCCCGGTGGAGGTAAACCACCTTTACCGCCACCAATGGAAGATCATGTTAAAAGTGGTCCACCAAAACAACTTGATGAAAGTGAACTAGGTTTTCTCGACAACTCACTAATCTCACATAATCAAACTTCTCATAATACTGATAATACTGCATGTTTATCTCTGAACCAGATTGAAGCCGGGCAGAATAAGTCGTCATCCACTTGTAGCCAGACAGGAACTGATTGTTATGCATAATATTGCTTTACCTATTCCTTGTCTTCACTGTAACCCTAACCAAAGAGACGAACATTTTTAAAAGTGTGAAAAATTAGAAAAACGCAATTTTACAAGTTTAATTGAACGCCTTTCATCTGGAAGAACAATATACAATATATACGATTAAATAGTAATGTCCAATCAATACTTCGCTGTTGCGGAAGAACCATGAAAAAATATAAAAATGGTGAATATTATATTTTCAAATCTTTGTGTTTGTTAGTTAGCTGTCAGAAACTGATCTTCTTTAAGATTTCATTTATTTTGTTTATTATTGCACATTCATGTTTTGTAGATGTCCCTGAGTAAATTATCCACGAATAAAAAAAACATTTCATAGCTTATTCTTTATAGGTCAGAGCTGTTCAGCGTTATATGATATTCAATGCAAACGCCAACAAAGATATTCCGTTGAGATCTCACAGAGATCGACTTGTTTCTAGTCGTTTTGTAACATGAAACGATCATCATCCAATTTCCTTGATGCCAGCTGATTCTATTCTACAACTTACAGCTCTCACCATTTAATTAATGAGTACTGGTTTGTTATTCAGTGAATGTGGTGCTCACATGATCGGTTTAGGACAGACAAATACAGTGTCAAAACAGCACTAAATTAACTTTTTCACCTTTTATTGAAGTACAGTATGGTGGCAACCAAAATGCCTTCGATGAATATAACATTGGTTAATTTAATTAACTTAGAGCACTTCTATAGCCTACTAGATCCAATTCGATATCAGTAAGGGACGATTAAGAGACGCAGTGTTCGCAGCACACAGTCCTAGTCTCCCCTCAATTAACGATGATTCACAACCTCACTAGCAGATCCAACTCTTGCAATAAGAACCTTCTTATTCTGATTTTTCAATTCATTTTACGATTAACTAATCATAGCAACCTATAAAAAATGTGCTTGAGTGAAGTTTATTCAAAATAATACTCTAATGTTGACAAGTGATCAACTTGAAGACAAATAACACTGTCAAACACTGTCAAGTCGATCGAATAGTGTTCAAGGTGAATACTTAACATAAAATGACATTTTCCTTGTTATAAGACTGAGTGAGAACTTTCCTAGCTCCTCTACTGCGTGACAGTTGACAGTTCACAATTCATATCCAATTCTTGATTAGAATCATTCTCTGTACCATCATCATGTGACCGTTTGACTGATTTGATTATCCGGCAACTGAAATTTAGCATCCATTAATCTGGTTGTAACATGGCGAAAATCAACTGCAATCTAAATCTTTCAAGTTTTTCAACATCTCATCAACACTGAGATTTCTAGGTTGTTTTTTTTTTCGAGTTAAACTATGATCTCTCCGACTTTTATTAATGTTTCACACAATCCTACTGTATCAGAACGTTTGATTGGGAATTCGTTTTCATTAATTATATACATAGAGAATTAGATTTTAAATAAACAAATAAATATTCAGTTGAAATCTCTATGGAGAAAATGTACTCTTGAATGTAGCAATGATTTATTTGATAAGGTGAACTTTTAAAATTCCTAACTAATTTAATGGCAATGGATTGTATGGTATCATCAAATTCTTTTCTGATGAATGGATAGAAGAATGTTGCTGTATACATAATTGTCAAGTTTCACTTGTAACGTATGTAACAGTGGATAAATATCCGACTGAAAATTCAAATGAGGAATATTATACTCTCTGTCTAGAAATATTTAATCTACAAACAAACCAAAAAAAACATGATCTCTCAAAACCTAAGTTGCGAATATGAAATGTGTTCTAGCGCGAAAATCGTTTGACGTCAAACACTGTGACACTGAAACATCATATTTACAGGTAACAAATATGAAGTTGATTTATAAAATTGTTTTAGTACTTGCTAACCAGAAGATTTTCCGAATACGAATCAACAAAGTTTGAAAGTAATTGCCTGGGAAGGAACTGGATTGTAGAAAAATTTGTTAAACCACAAAGTGATAGGATAGCGAGTCAGGTTCTCGATGGCACTGCACACATGCGATGTCTAATGATATTTAGTCATCCATCATCCAAGAGAGATTACTTTACTGAAATGATCATTTACATTTGGAAAGACAGAAAAATTACGTATGATCTGCTTACTAAGTTAACTTTAAAGTGATATTGATCCTATAACTACCATTTTCAATCTTATCTTTTCACCGAAATTCATGGTTTAACTAGTTTTAATACTTAAAACGCCAGAGGATAATTAATATGGTTGTTAAAATCAAAACCAAACGGATTTTTTTGTATTTGGCTGCAGAGTTCAAGATCATTTACGGTGACATTGCAAGTTTCGGATAAGGTAATGCTGGTTTTATTCACCTTTTAATAAGCTTGAAGGAACTGATGTTTCTCAATCATCAATGAAGACCTTCCTTTTCCATATCACAAGCAGATTGGTTATCATTGAGTTATTCGGGCAACGATGAACTTCAATTGGGCTTAAATTTCTCACACAAGTCTGTCATATTCTCCTGAAGGGGTTGAAATTATTCAGTTAGCCAAGTCACAATATGCCAACCACTAAAGTCGATCATATGGTACCAATCTTGAGAGACTTTTTCTACCAATTAGAGAATTGCTTAGTTGTAATGGAATCTATAACACAAAAGTAGCAAAGCTGCAATGGACATAAAGTTTTAGCGTAATTAGTGAATTTCCACATGTTGTTTGTTGGTTTATTGTTCATAGAGCAAACATTTGCAGCAAACAGTTGACCTTAATGGATTCTTGCCGTAGAGCCCCAGCGCGATGGTGATTAGTGTTTCAAAATTAATCGAATTGTTTTAATAGTATCGGTGTCGAATGATTTTACAATTTTATCCGTTTATTGATCTATACGAGTTTAGTTTAGCATATAAAACAGGACCTTCGACAGCTTAGATTCAGTTATCTCTGTCAGTCAGGTCTAACTATACAAACGCACTTGAGACAGACATTCTCGAACACTTCCTTAATCACATGAACAGTACTCAGTAGACAATTCCTATATCAGATACAATCTGGATGAAACATACCAAGGGTTTGTTGTAAATAGACTGTCACGATATCTACAGATGGACTAAATAAAGGTAGATTTTACTAAGTTATTTGTCACTAGGTTTGAACTTTTCGTAAATCAGAAATGTTGGGATATCTTAGATCTGATCAGTACGGATGAATATTAGACTAACCGTAGTCGGTGGCTTAACTGATTCAGCTTAACACTGTGCTCTGTGCGATATAGTGTGGTTAAAGTAATAAGTAGAAAGTTCTGGACTTAGGCCTTTTTTATAATAGATGCTCTTCTCTTCGAATTTTATTTTGGATTATTACAGTATACCAAGAATACATTCGGTTTCTGAAAATATTTTATTCAACAAAGGAATAACTTTGTTACTACTTAATCTCAAACTTATTGGCAAAAAATACCCTTTTATGACCATTTTAATCTTATGAATTTTGCTTCTCATCATTTTTTTTCTAGCAAACTTTGTGAATAGTTTGATTTTAACTACACTGCAATGCTGAACAAATCTCTCTCACCTGAGATCTTGAATTCTTTTCACCACTTCTCGATAAGATAGTTTTATTTTAACTAAACCAAGGGACTAGCTAACGTCTTCATGAATTTCGTTTGTTTTTGATCGTTTTTCGTAACATGTAAGTGTAAATAAAAAAATGGCGGCTAACCCATATTCACCAGTTGACTTGGACATTGTGTTTAAGTGACTTTTCGAACAGGAATCCTAAATTAACCTTTATTTCTTTTTATCTGTGTTAACTGATAAACGAATTTGTATTTAGTACTTATATCTGTGGTTCTATGTGTGTATGTATGTGTTACAGTGTTTCTTTTTAAAACCGAACTATGTAAATAAAAGATCACATTTCGGTAAAAAGAAGTAAGGAGAAATGAAAGAGTAAAAATCAAGCTTCTTCTTGGTTGTCGAAAGCGTCTATTGATCACATGATAGCAAACAAAGGTGTAAATATTCTTTTCGTGTCTATTTATTTCTGATATTAGAGTTTAGAAGAAGGCGAAGTAGGCAGTATGCGATATTGTTTAATTAAAATACGTGACAGTAAAGGAGTAAAAAGCTAATAGATTAAGAGCTCTAAAGTACTGCAGCGCCAGCTTTCATTCCTACCACAATCTAACCGAACTCTCCAAAGAATTAATGTGGGCTAGTTATAGTTGAATAACACAGCCCGTTGCCAGTGCTCCATATATCTAACTTGTGTCATTTTCCTCATATACCATAATGTTAGCTGAACGCATAAAATTAATCAGTTGGTTAATCAACGGCTGATAACAAAACAATTTAATAATCATACAATGAGAATAAGTATAGTATAATAAGTATAAGTATAAGTATAGTATATAAGTATAGTATAGTATAAGAATAATAATAATAATACTAGTAATAATAATAATAATCCAAAAGTTAGTTCTAGAAGTTATCACTTCTCCAATCTTCTCCCGGATATAGCAGTCAAAGAAATTGAAAGATTGGCGGAAATTTTCACCTTCTCAAGTAGTACTAGGTATTAAATTCTCTGAGTTAGAAAGGTTACTTTTTATTGATATGAACGAAAGTCACAATGCCTAGCTAGTTCTTTTTGAAGTGGCTTAACACTTACACCATCTGGCTGAGAGAATGAATTATCATATCACTTAAGTTGTAATCCAATAATAAAGCGAGCTATATGAATTAACTGAGTAGAAAGCAGACTGGTAATCAAGAGGCTGTTAGTTAGAAGACAAAACATAATTTATGCGTTTTTAAATCTTTGATTATTCATTCATCAATAAAAAATCAATGAAAGCCATTTCATCAATGTCAAACAGAGATTATATCAGTTGGGAATGCATTATAAAGTATATTTTAATCCACTATTTAGAGAGTTTAAGTTGGTCATTATTAAATTTTGTTTAAAACTATTATGTGAAGTTTTTTTACATAGAAAATGCTAAGTTCACTGTTGAGACTGTGTTGTAACAGTGATTAGAAATTCGGACAGTGACAGGCACAAAATAAAACATATTCTGATGCGTGAAGAAAGTTATCACCAGTGCTGTAAATTGATGAAAACCGAATTTGTGTATGACTTCAAATCAAAATAATGCTCTGAAAGCATCCATTTTCTCCTGACGCTTTAGCATTTTCATGTTTGTATGAAATGAATTCTTAGAGCAGTCAGAGCAGTGTTCATCATAAGAACGTAGTTTATCACACTATCA